TTTTTTTTTTTTTTTAGCACTTTTACACCTAATTCCGTAACAGTTTCTTCTTTCTTTCAGTACAGTTTCCCCTTGATATAATCCATTCTGCACACTAACACCAGATTTATCCTTCTAAAGTCTCTTTATTTTAGTTTCTTCAAAATATTTTCCTAATAGTCAAATGTAAGAGTTCTTCATGAATTATGGGACCACAAGGTGCAAATGTTTTGGCCTGGCATTGAAGGCAGTCTACAGTATGGCCTCAATCTACAATTCTCACACCTGCCTCGGGTCCTATAATCATATCCTGTGTTCCAGAGAGACTCACCCCTTCAGAATGCCCACTACCCTCCTCTCCAACAAACATACAATAAAGCTAATCTACATGAGTTTCGCGTCCTACTCTGCCTTACCTAGCCCCTGAAATACTACCTCTTCCCTCATTAGATGCCTATGTAAATCCTCAATGTTCAAGATTCATCTTAAGGAGCACTTTTTCTGGGACCGTTCTGGTCCTGTTTTGAATACACTCTGAACTCCTCCACAGGACAGGAACATAATGTATTACCCTATCATCACTCATTAACACACAACAGGCTTACGTTATGTGGCTGGCTGTATTTTCAGTGGTATTTCCATATGTTTTGCTACCTATCTATCATCTATCTACCTATCTACGTGTTTGAATACAGATACATAAAAAGTCTCATTTCACCTATAAGAACCTTTGGAGCCAGATACATGTCATACAATAATTGGGCTAAAATAAAAATTCCTCAGTGAAAAGCTAAAGACTGGGTTGTGGTTGTGTGCAGCCAAAAGGTACAAAATAAAAACCTTCTAATGGGCCAGGCGTGATGGCTCACACCTGTAATCCCAGCACTTTGGGAAGCTGAGGCGTGTGGATAGCGAGGTCAAGAGATTGAGATCATCCTGGTCAACATGGTGAAACCCCGTCTCTCCTAAAAATACAAAAATTAGCTGGGCGTGGTGGCATGCACCTGTAGTCCTAGCTACTTGGAAGGCTAAGACAGGAGAACTGCTTTGAGCCTGGGAGGCAGAGGTTGCACTGAGCCGAGACTACGCCACTGCACTCCAGCCTGGGCAACAGAGCGAGACACCGTTTCAAAAAAAACAAAAAACCTCCTAATGATTTATTTTCCACGTGAAAGTAGTACCAGATCTAGAGAAAAATGGACAAGGATCAAATACAAATAATAAAGTCATCACCAAACTAAAACCTTCTTTCAAAAGTGACGATGTTGGCCAGGTATGCAAAGTGTGGTGGCCCACACCTGTAATCCCAGCACTTTGGAAAGCTGAGGTGGGCAGATCACTTGAAGCCAAGAGTTTGAGACCAGCTGGCAAACATGGTGAAACCCCATCTTTACTAAAAACACAAAAATTAGATGGGCGTGGTCATACATCTGTAATCCTTGCTACTTGGGAGGCTGAAGCAGGAGAATCACTTGAACCCAGGAGGCAGAGACTGCAGTGAGCCAAGATCATGCCACTGCACTCCAGCCTGGGCGACAGAGCAAGACTCCATCTCAGGGAAAAAAAAAAAAAAAGTGATGACGTCAATAAAGACCCAAATCAGGGTCATATGTTTAGCAACAGAAAGTTTGTACTTGCCACAAGATAGAAACTTTGACAAAAGTAACACAAACTGTTTTGGTTCTGGGTCACCTTAACTTTTCTGTGCATTGTTAGGTCACACAAGTCTCTTTCTAAGGGTTTCTGAAATCGAAAAAAAAAAAAGAAGAAAAGAAACTTCTATTAAGCAGACCAAAGTCTGACTCCTCTGTGGGTGACAGCAAGTGGAAAATGGAAGGGGATCAATCACCTGCAAAATGACTCATTTTCAACCCTTGTAACAACTACACTGCTAGGGAATTCCTTCTCTTGCTAGTTATGGCTAGTGTCAGACTCATGACAAGGACCTCATCCTGGGGCTCGAACTAGGTTTAGGGTTTTTGTCGTTCATTCCTCTGTTTCTCAGCTTCACTGTCATTTTTAATCTGTGTAATGATTACAGGGGTCTATGTTTGATTCTTGTTTCTGGTTTCCCCAGGAAGAGATAACTACTATCTTGATATTGATTACTACTTGAAACTTCTGTTAATCACAATTTCAGTATTTCAGGGAATCAGAAAAATCATTTGGAAGAGGCTTGGAGGTCATCCAGGGTGAGAGAAAAGCAAAGCACAGGCAACGGACTGATGTTTAGACACAGTGAAGTGAAGACCTACAGGAGACCCTCACAACTCTAATAAAAGTTTTTTATGGCTGTCTTCATATTCTTTCAAAGAAATCATAATAAAGTGGTCAGCAAGAGTGTAAATAAAAAATAGGCTATTATAGAGTGCTAGGTAACTGAGCTAAAACTAAAGTAAACCAACTCAGTGGGCCATCACATATGCAAGCTGGTAAGGTCTCATAAATCACCATGACTGGGTATTGGGATTTCAAAGGCATGCTCTGTAAGCTTTCTTCCAGGCCTGTTGATTCAAGCTCCAATTGCACTGGGTTATCTATAAGGCAGCATATACTTTTAAGTTTAAAAATAGTTTCAGTTCTCATCCCTCCTAAGGATAGGCCACAGTATCTATCATGTGTACCTACCACACTACATACTTAAAGTTTTCACTTAATTTTCAACACAGTCCTGAGGTAGATTATGTTAGCCCTGATTTACAGGGAAAACAAAGGCTCAGGGAGGCCAAATTAATTAAATTATCCAAGGTCATAACTCTACTGTAGGGCAGATTTATATCCCGAAGAGGAATTGCTAAGCTCCTCAGAATTTAGGAGATTTAAAGTACAATCAAGGAAAAAGTTCACATTTTTCATCTTCTATTCCATTCCATTGTACTCTTCCAGCATCTAATAATTACCTGTGATATATTAGAGCAAATCAGCCCGTACTTATTTTGACAGACTCTGTTCACCCCATTCCAGTTTGTACTTTGCTGCCTCAGAGCTCATCAACCGCCTTCCTCAGTCCCAGGCAGCCGGTCCTTTGTGGATGGCTCAGCAGTTGGACCACCATCCAGTGCTACCAGGGCATGACTCAAGGGGGCAACAGGTGAAGCTGACGCCAGCTATTAGTGCTAAAAAAGACTCAAGCCTCATGAAATATACCATCCATAAGTCCCTCTGCAATCAACTCTGTACCTCCTCCTCCAGCTCTACAGCTGACTGTCCTTCCATAAACATTTACACTCTCCAGCTGACCCGTCTGGGATTTCTTTTTTCACTTCAAGGCTGTCCCAAAGTTTCAGTCTACCCAGATTTCACCATATGAACCCTGCAGTGGAAAGGGCAGCAACGTGCATTGGTCAGTCTGCCTCCAGCCAAGGAAGGCTTGACTCCCCTCCTTCTCCAACTCTTCTCTTTCTTTGCCTCACACTGCCACATACGTCCTTTAGCTTTGTCTCTACCTTTCTTTCCTTACGCCTTCATTCTCCACCCTATCCACAAGTGAATCTTCCCTTGCCACTTTGCCCCCACTAAGAAAACAGACCTCCAACACAACTTCTTACTGATAGGCTAATATTAAAATTGTGAATCTGCTTACACCTTCCCTGGGTTTATCCTGTATCTTCTCTGTCTATTACCTGCTTCCCACTAAGGTTCCTTCCCTCCATCCGACCTCCAAATCCTCTGCAGCTCAGATTCTCAGATCTGCTTTAGTCACTTAGTGTCCTCATCCCACTAACCCTATTATCCTTCAGTTTACTTTTGTGCATATGTTAGAAGGTACATGCTCCTCCTAGGAGCTAGGGCCGGGTCAGTTATGCTCCCATCCTGACATGACTTAGAGAACAAAGAAGGCAAAACAAGAGGTACTATAGGAGGATTCCTCTCTAGGAATTATACTTCGCTGAAATTGCTCTTGCTGTTTTGAAATCTAATGCTCACTAAATACATTTTAAAAATATTATTTGGATATACTTTGAAAATACAACCAGAGAATAAACACTTGTTCTTCTGTTTCTCCATCTTCCTCACCAATATAACATCCAGAAATCTTTACACCTATTTAGAAGCACATAGATCTTAGAAAAGTTTAACTGAGCATTAGGTTTTCATCTTTAAAAATGTTTTGACGCTGGGTGCAGTGGCACTCGAGCCTGGTTGTCAGAGTGAGAACTTGTCTCAAAAAAAAAAAAAAAAATTTTTTTTTTGACATGTAGTATACTGTTTCTGGGACTAAATTAGAGATATAAGGTGTAAGGAATGAGAAAATACCTAGAATCATGCCTTACATTAGAAAGTAAGGTAAATACTGGTGTTTCCCAATGAGTTGTTGTCAGACTGTTCATATGTATCAAACAGACAATATGTTGAAATGTTTAAAAATAAGGCCAAATAGCAGCAAGTAATTTTTCTCATGAATTCTATTTTTTTTTTTTTTTTTTTTTTTTTTGCGATGGAGTCTCTCTCTGTCACCCACACTGGAGTGCAGTGGTGCCGTCTCCATTCATTGCAACTTCTACCTCCTGGGTTCAAGTGAGTCTTCTGCCTCAGCCTCCCTAGTAGCTGGGATTACAGATATGCACCACCATGCCCAGTTAATTTTTGTACTTTTAGTACAGACTGGGTTTTGCCTTTGTTGGCCAGGCTGGTCTCGAACTCCTGGCCTCATGTGATCTGCCTGCCTTGGCCTCCCAAAGTGATGGGATTACAGACTTAAGCCACCACATCCAGCTGAATTCTACTTTTGAAAGAACAAATCCCCCTTATGTAGGGACTGATGATTCAGTCTGTAATAATGCAAGCTCTTCATCTTTTTTCTTTTCTTCCATATATCCTTTAGCCATTCTACTGTTTTAAACTAGATAGAAAAATTAAGATTTAGGCCCAAATAGTATCTTCTGGCATAAAGTAAACTAATTTTTTCCTGATGTGCAGTAAAGAGGCATATTTCTAGTAGAAGATTCCTTATAATTTATCAAAACCTAATTATCACCTATCCTTATGTTAGAGACCATATTGGCAATATAAGATTAAGAAAACAAAGAACAGAAAATCAAAATATATACCAAGGAGATTGCTAATAGGTTTCATACTTATCACAGCATATTGTTGAAACTTATTTGAAATACTGTTTTAAAAAAGCTACAAGAGGATAAGTGTTTTTTGGTTTTAACAAGGGAGGACCCAGTCAATAAACTGATTGAGTACCTGATTTATAAACAGCTCTGGCCAAAGTGCTCAGAAAAAAAAAAAGAAAGAAAAATCAAGACTTTAGTTTTCCTAAACCCATCTTAATTTTTAAATATTCTTTTAACAGAATTACAGTCTTTAGCCTCTTCTGTGAAATGGGCTTCCTTGTAAATAATTAAATGACACCTATATATATTTAAAGCACCCATGACGTAATTTTATCTTTTTATTAAAAACTGAAATTTATTGTCTTGCAAATTTGAAATTTATTGTCTTCCTAAATTCTTGCTATAAAGCCTATCATCATTAATATTGCAGTTCATTTTTTCCCTAAAGACTGAAAAAAACACAAATACATAATAAAGCCTTTATGGTCAAAGAATGTATTCCTTTTATAAAATTGGGAGTTGATATAAAGGCACAGACAACAGAAGTCACCTTAATAACAAATGCACTTTTCTTTGTAATTTTGGGTAATTCAATATGATTATAATTCTTTTTTTTTTTTTTCTTTTTTGAGCCAAGTCTTGCTCTGTTGCCAGGCTGGAGCACAGTGGCGTGATCTCGGCTCTCTGCAACCTCCGCCTCCTTGGTTCAAGCGATTCTTCCGCCTCAGCCTCCTGAGTAGCTGGGACTACAGGTGCATGCCACCATGCCTGGCTAATTTTTGTATTTTTAATAGAGATGGGGTTTCACCATGTTGGCCAGGATGGTCTCAATCTCCTGACCTCGTGATGTGCATGTCTCGGCCTCCCAAAGTGCTGGGATTACAGGTGTGAGCCATCGTGCCCGGCCGATTATAATTCTTTTAAAAGACACACACACAATCATTTGTTTTTTTTGCATGATTCTTTTTTCCCTAATTTCCCACTATAGTGAAATGTCTGTTTTTCCTTCTCTACTGGGTTTGAATTGAAATGATCAGGTAGTATTAAAAGTAAAATAAGAAAAGTAAAACACTTTATAGATCATCTCAAAATACTTTGAAGGTACTGTATAATCTCTTTAAGATGGCTTTATTCACATTTAAATCAAAAACAAAAAGTAACCAAAACACTGCTATTTATACAGAAAGCAGCTTTAAAATCAGCCAGTTATTTTCTGAAATGCAGACAGCAGACATTAGCCTGTACTTACTCCAATATGGCAGCCGCATCTTTGCCTCTTTGCTGTGGACACACCCCCATCGGGCCTGTGCTTTCTACTCCTCCAGACCTATTTATGACAGGCCAAGGTGTTTCCTATTATGGTGCCTATGGCTGCACAGTGCACTGCTTATCAGTAATAAAAGCCAGAGGCTGTCCCTATAGGGATTACAGTGCAGCAGACCAGAGATGCTGATGGGAACGCAAGCATGCCCTAGGCAAACATTGCAGAAGACTCTCTGACAGGCAAAAGCCAACAAACACATCCTTTCTTCCCAGACTAGCAGGGAAAGTATTCATTATGTCATTTTTAGTTGGAACAAACTAATAAGAATGTTATTGCTAAAATAGGTAGAGAAGAGAAAAAGCAGTTTATGACCATGAATGTGGCCTCTATGGTTTTTGCCTGTACACTACAACCTTTTAATTTAAATGAGATGAGATTGATCTAGCATATACTATGATAAAATTTCTGAGATGTGAATATCTAAAAGCAGAACTGAGATTAAGTGAGAAATGCTCATGATTCCTGTCACTAAAAAAAAGGAGGGAAAAAAACAACCTTTCTAGAAAGGTACAAACTAGAGTGTTCACACTCTCCATCTACCAATACAAGATAAAAAACACATTTGCATCAACCAACATCATGCATCCTGTACTAATTTATGTGACTACAAAACATTGTATTGACACTCATTGTGTAGACTGTCAGGATGGCTGAGTGGTCTAAGGCAGCAGACATTCAGTGGGTTGGGCTAAAAACACTGTAGAAGACCTCATTAGAACAATAAAACAAAGACACAAAACATTGTGCTAAGAGTTAAGAGAATTACAAATAAAAATTCTGTGGAAAGTCAGAGGTAAAAGATGGTATATCCAGTTAGGACAGCCTGAGGTGGGAGATATAGGACACTCCAGATACGGGATGGGAAGAAGATGGGATTAAAAAAAGGCTTTATAGAGGATGTAGCATTCCAAATAGGCCTTAAAAGATGGTTTCAATTTTTTAAATAAAACTTTTTGTTTTAGAACAGATCTAAATTTACAGAAAACTTGTGAAGTCAGCACAGATAATTCCTACACTCGGTTTCCCATTATTAACGTCTGACTTTAGTATGGCACATGTCTCACAAATATTAACCAATATTGATACATTATTATTAACCAAAGTCCACACTTTATTCAGATGTCCTTAGTTTTCACATAATGTTTTTTTGTTTGTTTTGTTTTTTTCCCTGTTCCAGATCCCATCCAAGATACCCCATTATATTTAGTCCTCATGTCTCCTGAGACTCTTGGCTGCAGATCTCAGGTTTTCCTTGGCTTAGATACTCTTGACAGTTTTGAGGAGTATTGAATGGTCAGACATTTTGTAGAATATCCCTCAGCTGAGATCTGTCTGATATTTGCCTTATGATTAGATTATGGTTATATGTTTTCAGTAGGAAAATCACAGATAAAAAATGCCATTTTCATCAAAACATATCAAGGATACATATTATCACTTATTATTGTCAATGTTGACCTTGATAGCATGGCTGAAGTAGTGATAGGTTTCTCCAATGCAGAGTTTCTTTTTTTTTCCTTTCCCCTTTTCTACACGGTACTATTCAGAAGGAAGTCAATAAGCACAGCTCACACTTACGGTGTAGGGAGTTATGTTATCCCTCCTTGAGGGCACAGAAGCTATAGAAGCTAATGGGAATTCTGCACCGGAGATTTATGTATTCTCCCCTACTTAGTCATTTAATAAATTATATCAATATGGGCTTATGAATATTTATTTTACTCTTTGGGATATAATCCAATACTATATTACTTTCTTGCTCAAATTGTCCTAGCTTTGGCCTTTGGGAGCTCTTTCAGTTTGCTCTTGCAACTCTTCAATATATTCCCATGGGTACAGGGTTCTGTTTATTTGAGCAGGTCCTTTATGGCACTACAAGATGCTCCAGGCTCATCTTATATATTTCCTTCCTGAGTCCTCAGAATCAGTTATTTTTTTCAAAGACTCTTGGTTCCTTTCACTAGAGAATGGTATTAGAAATCAAAATGTGGGTGCCAAGTGTGCTCACTGCTACTGGGGTGTGGTTGCTTCTAGACCCTCTCGGCTGATAGAACAAGGAAATGTTTATGTGTATACTAGGTGGTAAGATGTTGAGAGGTAGAATGGAGAGTTACCTTCTCAGTATACTTTTCTTAATATTAAATATTAATAAGATATTGTGTGCCTGGGTTACTTTCAGTCTCATGCAGAGGAAGAACATATGTACATTCGTTTATGAAAAACACTAGGTAGACTATACTGCATTGTGTATTTCTGCTAGAAAAGAGTTCAGAGATTTTCAGATGTTCTGACAAAATCTGAGGCCTGCTTGATGAGCTATACTGTAAAATTACAGAAAGAAAGAGCAAACTCCTTGAAAATAAAGGAAAAACAAAATATATGAAACAACCACCAAAACGAGTGATTAATGGGGAAGAAGAGTAAATAAAACATTATAATAGTCCTCTTTGGTTAGTATCAACATTATTAGGCCACTTTAACAAAAGGATAGAAATCAGGATGGCAGACACCCTTCTCTAACCCTCAACCCCCAAAGTAAGAAAATAAAACTAATGGTATTGGCCGGGCATGATAGCTCATGGCTGTAATCCCAGCACTTTGGGAGGCAGAGGCAGGTGGATCATGAGGTCAGGAGATTGAGACCATCCTGGCTGATACGGTGAAACCCCACCTCTACTAAAAACACAAAAAATCAGCCGGGTGTGGTGGTACGCACCTGTAGTCCCAGCTACTCAGGAGGCTGAGGAAGGAGAGTCACTTGAACCTGGGAGGTGGAGGTTGCAGTGAGCCGAGATTGCATCACTGTACTCCAGCCTTGGTTGCAGAGTGAGACTCCTTCTCAAAAAATAACAACAATAATAATAAAACTAATAGTATTCCTTTACATATGGAAATGAATGGGTTCTACTGAGTATCTAGTATGTTCCTGATTCAGTCTAGTCAATTCCCATCTTTTAATTCATTAAATCATTACAGAAGCTATTTAACAGATGAGAAACCTGAAGCACAGAAGGCAGTGCAGCCCAATTTACATTTGTTTAAAGGGGGAGAATGAATCCAATTCAGTCAGGCTGTCTATAGGAGGATGCTCTAAATCCATGGTCCACTCTGCCTATGGAATGAATATTTTGTGAATTGGAATATTTCTGCTGAAGGAATTTGCCATTTTCTCCTCTAGTGGAGAAATCCAACTGAGGGAAAAGAAGGAAAAATGTACATTGTTTAAAACAATAAATTAGTCTCTAAATTGTTCTTGCTGCTGATTTAGACTAGTATGTTCAAAAGCATGTCCAGTGTTGGTAAATGTTAGGCAAAATGCTTTAACGTGGTGCAAGGATGAATGTTTTCTCATTTTCTTATTTATTAATTTTAGAAAAAAAACACAGAAAAACATAACTTGATCAGACCCATGATTTCATGTATACCATTACTTAAGACACTCAAGTGAGTATTTACATTTAAAGATAAATTGCTCTTAGCATTTCTATACTTTGACAATAAATTATCCAAAAAGAAATTAATAAAATAATCCCATTTACAACAGCATAAAAAATATTTAAGAATAAATCTAAGCAAAGAGGTGAAAGATCTATACACTGGAAACTATAAGACATGGATTTAAAAATCTGAAGAAGACACAAATAAATGAAAAGATATCCCATGTTCATGTACTGAAAGAATTAGTAATGTTAAAATGTCCATACTATCCAAAGTCATCTATAGAGTCAATGTAATTCCTGTCAAAAATTCCAATGTCATTTTTCACAGAAATAGAGAAAAAAATCCTAAAATTGATATGAACCAAAAAAGACCTAATAGCCAAAGAAATCTTGAGCAAAAAGAACAAAGCTGCAGACAT